TATCTCATTCTCTCTGTCTCAAATAAATAAAATCTTTTAATAAAAAAAAATATGACATATGAAGAAAATATATGACATATGAATAAAATATCCCTAAAGCAAAAACAAAAACCTAAAAAAGTTGGAGAGGGAGACCACATTTCAAGGTATAAAAATGTTAGTTTTTATTTTATGTTTTTAATTAATAAAAATGCATTAATTAAAATGATTTATTTTATGAAGATATTGCAGTTTCAATTCAAATCCCTATGGGATTGTTTTTGGAACTGAAAAGATTAATTCTAAAGTTGTCTGGAAGAAGGTATGCTTGAAGCCAAGAAATTTTGGGTGGGCTCTTAGCCACACAGAATAAAGACTACATTTCCCATTCTCCCTTGCAACTCAATGTGTTCATGTGACTAAGTTTTGACCAATGAAAGTGTTTTGTTGCTGCATCCAGAAACCTTTCTTTATAAATGGCTTACATGCGTCATTTCCCTTCTCTAACCCCTTTCTCTACCCTGCTGCTTGGAACATGATGATGTGAGGATGAGGATGTATAGGCTGAATCTTGAGAATGAAGGTCAGTCTAATAGCAACATAGCAGAATGCTGGAAGGAACCTGGTTTCTAGAGGTTTTCATGAAAGAAAAACCACATCAGTTCCAGATTGCCTATATCTGGACCTTAACATGAACGAGAACAGACTATCTTATTTAAGCCACTGTTATTCGGGGTTTTCTTCATTCATAGGTGAATCTAACCCTATTATAATATTATAATAACCTTTCATATTTTCCCCATGCTTATATAATTATATTCAGGCCTATATAAAGACATACATGCAAGTTTTATGTTGATTTCTATAATTGTTTTGTGGGAGAACACAACTTTCTTCATCTTGTTTTCCTGAGTCTATACAACCTTGTGAAATTTTCTCCACTTCAATTAGCATAGCTCTAATACATATTTTTTTTTAAGATTTATTTATTTATTTATTTTGGGAGAGAGAGAGAGCACAAGTGGGAGGGGCAGAGGGAGAGGAAAAGAGAATCTCAAGCAGACTCCATGCCCAGCACAGAGCCCACAACCCCGAGATAACCACCCGAGCAGAAACAAAGGGACACCCAACCAATTGCACCACCCAAGTGCCCCTCTAATACATATTTTTTGATGGCTTCAAAAATATCAAAATTTATTCCCTCATCCTCTCATTATTGGGCATTTGCTTTGTTTCTGATTTTTCTCTCACCGTTCACAATGAAGTACTTAATAAACATAGGTTCTTGTCTCCTAGGAGTAAGCCAACTGGATGAAGGGGTATGCATTTTAAATTTTAATAGATGTCACTAGATTACTTTCCAGAAAGACTGAAACACTTACATTTCCATCAACAATGTATGAGAGCAGCATTTCTCGACATCACCAAAAGCAATAGTTCTTTTTTATTTTTTAGTAGTCTGGTGGATGTACAATGTTGTTACCTCAATTTGCTTTTCTTTGACTCTAATCAATACCTGGTAATGTAAGGCTCCTCTCTCTTCTTTTCATAGTTTTCACACAAGATCACTTTATCCAGTTTAAACAAAACCCTATGGGATTAAAAATGGAATTATAATAAATTGATTTATAAATTTTGAGAAAATTAAAATTTTTTGTGTTAAACTTTCCCATCCAAGAACATGGTAAAGCTTTTTATTGGGCTAGTTCTTTTATGTCTTTCAATAAACTTCATAGTTTTTTTATTTAGCTTTCCCTATGCCTTTCTTGTTAAATTTATTCTTAAATATTCTGTAGTTTTTGGAGCTATTATAAATAAAACATTTTCTCATTTACATTTTTAGGTATTTATTGGTAAAATAGAAAAATGCTATGATTTTTTTGTATATTTATCTTATAACAAGACACCTTATCAAATTAACTTATTCATATAATTATATATATGTATATATATATTTTTAAAGATTTTATTTATTTATTTGAGACAGAGAGAATGAGAGAGAGAGAGCACATGAGAGGGGGGAGGGTCAGAGGCAGAAGCAGGCTCCC